CATGTCATATCCACATCAGATATATTAATGCCATATCATAATTATTTCATTTTTTTATTTTTTTTAATACCACTAAGTAGATCTAAGTGGATATATTTTATTAAAATAAAAGGTTCAACATACAAAAAATAAAGAAACCAAAACCAAAAAAATAAATAAATAAATTACAGTGAATAGATTGAAGTGATCCTCCAATTTGCTTCAATTAGGAAAGTTCTTGACAGCAATCTTCAGCTCAAAACAACGCTGGAGATGTCTATCTTCAAAGGATTTCTTAACTGAGCTCTCCATTGTGGAATCACTTCTTCGCATCACAAAGCTCTCACCGATGCCGTGTATCCATAACCATGGAGAAGATCTAAGACGAGTCAGCTTTTCCATCCAAGTAAAGTTGCAATCTTCAATTTTCCCTATTTCTGTATGGGGTAGGTTAGATCTTTACGAATCCCACGAGTTCTGTTGATAAACCCCCAAATTGTTGAGATAAACCCTCAAATTGTTGATAAATCATTATTCATCTTGTATGAACAGTTGGGGATTTCTTTGATTGTTGTGGGTCTGCCTTATGTCTTCTGTTATTCTTGTGCTTGATGACTTGTGCTCGTATTTCTGTGATATGTTTGGCATTTTTTAAAGTGAAATTTCATACATTCAATTCTCCCTATTTTCACTGTTTCACGACCATCGCCCGGAGAAAGCCATCGTCGCCGTCGTCGTCATTTTTGCCGGCGAAATCACATATACTTTCTTCCTCACCCATCTTCATCTCCGCCGCACACCATCACTATTTTTCTTTTCCTCCTCCAACCTCCACAAAAACAACAACCTAAGCCACTGCGATTCAGTGGTGGCGTGCACCACCAGCGTCGCCTCTCTCTCTCACGCCACTGCGATTCAGTGGTCTCCGGCGAGCGTTGGTCCGCTTTCTCGTGAATAAGTCGCCAAGATCTGCTAAAGGTGTTAGTAAATTGTGGAGAAAAAAAAAGTTTGGTCAGGCTTGAAAATGGCCAAAAAGAAGGGGTTAGTGGGGAAGAAGAAATGACTTTTTAATTAATTGTTTTTTTTTTTAAATATCTTTTTTATAATTTTAATTTTTTTTTTAACCTAAAAAAGCTATTCACTCGCCTTAAGGTGCGTGAAGTCACACACTTTCGCCAACTTAGCCATCTTAAAGACACATAAGCTTGGTCAATGGTCAGAGGGTTTTGTTAAATTGTGTTTTATTGAGTTTAAGGGTCCAGATGACAAAAGGCTAAGTAGAAGGGTTCAGAATACAAACTGATACAAGTATAAAGGTCCACCAGACCATTTCGCCTAAATATTCTATGTTTAAGTATCAACTAATTACATGCCATATTAGAAATAAAGATTATGACATTCTATGTTGTTCGTTGCCCCAAATTCCTATATATGGAGCTTCAGTTGCACATTGTTAATAGAACAATTCAAATACACATTTTTTTTTTCTGTTGCTTTCTTTACAATCCGATATTGACATTCGTAAAGGTGATTTGTTTCCTTCTGCCTAAGCCTTGTTGAGTAAAGTCATCCGGTGCCTGTGCTTGTGGAATGGTCGAGGTGTGCACAACTAGACAGCACACCATTTAAAAATGGTTAACAAGAATGTTATTTTCCATTCTGTTTTACTTTTCTCATGAGGGTTCATTGAATCCTTTAGTTTTTCGCTTTTCTAGTGTTAAATGAGTCAAGTTTATACGGTTTCTTGGTTTGTCAGGTATCATACAACACTGTGTTCAGTAGTGAATATATTTTGGAGAAGCAGCTATCTTGTCAAGTTGTTTTAGACTTCATGATCTATGCTAAGCTCTTTTAGCTATTCATTGACAGGGAATATTGATGGAAGCATTTCAACCGTCAAGGGGACTGAAACTCCGGTTCATTTCACAAGTAAAGAGTGTTACCAAATGAGAGAAAATTCTGGTTTGAGCAAGTCTTGAAATGTACACACACTCGCTGTAGCTCTCCAGGATTATACAAGTATCATGATGAGATGCTTACTACATAGTAACCAAGAATAGGATTTTTGCTTTGGATTAAAAGCATTGTACACAAATTGTTGCTGGTTTCTGAATTTGTGAGTGAGTCACACAATTATCAGCTCATGGGCAAATCTTTTTTTCTCTCTAGATTATGAATTTATCCACGTTTCTATTTCCTATCTTTCCTTGAATTGTTGGAAAAAGTCTCTTTGTGGCGATAACTTGAGTCATCAACCAGTCGGACTTAACAAATGCACTGCTATTAAATTCAAGGTATGCTCTAAATTTTGGAGAATTACACTTTGTTTGGATGGTTGTTAGGTATTGTTTCATAACGTATTGTATGATATTGTATTTTTATGACTAAAGTAGGGTACGAGGTAGAACTACTGTGAAAATGATGGGTAAAGGATAAAATAAGATTATTAAATAATAATAAAAATAAAATGAATAAGATTAATAAATTAGAAGAAAATATTAAGGTAATGAATATACATTGAATTTAAGAACAATCAAAATGAACATTATATTTAAATTAATACATTACAACAGTTTAAAACCATTCAAACAAGGTGTTACATTACAACAAATAATTCAACACTGCTCCTAAATTAGATATTTGCTTATTTAAGTCTCGATTATTATAATATAAATTGATATTTGCTGTGAATATTTTTTCAAAAACCAATAGCTATGCGTTGGAAGTTTTAATGAAGTCTTGAGCTTTATCAGTACCTTGGTGAAAAGATGAAGTAAAAATGAATCTAGTTTCTGTTTGTTTAAGTAACACTGACCCTTCTTTTAGTCTTAGAGCTTAAGCAGTTAATATCTTAAAATCCTCCCAACACGTTTTATTAGTTTAATTCTTAAATTCAGAGGTGTTATTGTTTTTCTTAAATTTTTTCAAACCCAAGAGAACATTTTTGTTTACATGGAGTCCTTGAGGTTTATTCGAGGGAAGAAGTATTGAAAATATCTTTATATTTGATGTATATAATTAGTTTTATCTCAGAATTATTGACAGTATTAAAAACACATGTTGCTTGACTAACTAAACTTAGGTACACAATCAATCTATGACATGACATAACAAGTGGTCTCAAACTCTTGTAGGAGTATGAGCCTCTTAATAAAAAATTGAGCGAAGTGTTGAAAACACCCCTAATTTGGTGAGAATTTAAGAGTGTATTTCACTTATGTTGCAAAACTTGGGAGTATTACACTTCAGTTAATCAAGTAAAAATGTGTTTTTAAGGTGATCAATAATTAAAAATTGACGAGAGGGAGTTGCTCGGATGGTAAGCACCCCTCACTTCCAACCCAAAGGTTGCGAGTTTGAGTCACCAATGGAGCAAAAGGGTCACTTCCAATCCAAAGGTTGCGAGTTCGAGTTACCAAGGGAGCAAGAGGGGTGGGAGCTCCTAGGGGAGGGTTAAAAAAATAAAAAATAAAATTAAACTAATAATTTTCACCGAATTTAGGCATGTTTTGTCTCTTTAATTTTAATCAAGTGTCACCTCACGACCAAAAAACATACTCTCTTTGTTCGTTTTAACTTGTCACTTTTGACATATAAAAAAAAACAATTATCTTTTTTGTTTTACCCTTAGCATTAAATATTTATTCCCCAAATCATTTTCTAAGACCTAATACTCCCTCTATCCCTATTTATTTGTCCATTTTTGAATTGACACACCTATTAAGAAAATAATAATTGACATAGTGAACTTACCATTTTACCTCTATTAATTAATAGAAAGACAAATTTAGGGATAATAAACACATAAATCATATTAGCGTTCTATAGCTACATTTTTGCTATTTGGCTAGAGCATCTGATTTGTATAAATCGTAGGCAGGCATCTCGTTTGTATAAAAGCGCAACGATTGCATGTATCGGTTGGATAATTGTATATATGTAACTACTATGTATATGTATCAATGATTGTGTATATAGTATGCATAAAAATTGAATTTGTATACAATTGAATCGAACTAAAATATTTGTATATCAAATATTTCTCTCTCGCTTTATACAACACAAATTATACATTGTAATTTGTATAATTTGTGTTTGTAATTGAATCGAATTAAAATATTTGTATATCAAATATTTCTCTCTCGCTTTATACAACACAAATTATACATTGTAATTTGTATAATTTGTGTTTGTATAAAGCGAGAAAGAGAAAAAGACAAAAGAGAAATGGGCAGGGGAAGATCTCTATTTGTATAATTATAAGTGTATAAGATGAAAATATATGTATTTGTATATACAATTCTCTATTGCTTTATACATACACAAACAAAATTTATACATTTGTGTTTGTATCAAGTGAGAGAGGCGAGCGAGATTCTCTGAATGATAAAGTGTTTGCTATGAATTTGAATGAAATGAAACTGTAGCTATATAATTTATTTTGAATTAAGTTTGCTATAATGCATAATTTCCCCTTGATTAGAATTACAAATCAATTTACTCATTAAAGATGTTCTACCTTTCTCACAAAAAATAACTTTCTAAATAAACTGAGAATATAATAGATAAAAAATATTTTTTTGATTTGTAAAAAATAACAAGTAAAATGTTAAAATTGGACAAGAAGAAAAGGAATAGAGAAAGTACTAAACATTACTCCCTCCGTTTCACAAAGAATGACCTGGTTTGACTTGGCACGGAGTTTAAGTAAATAAAGAAGACTTTTGAATCTTGTAGTCCTAAATTAAAGTTATGTTAAATGTACAAAATTGCCCTTAATCTTGTGGTTTTGAACATGCCACGTGGAAAGCAAAAAGTAAAATGTTACCAAAAAAGGAAAAAAGGTGATTTTTTTTAAACTGACTAAAAAGGAAAGGAGGTCATTGTTTGTGAAATGGAGAGAGTATTTTATAAGGATAATTTAGTAAAATATCTATATCAATATTAAGTTAAACAATGACAAATAAAAATAAATTAAGAGCAATTATCAAAGCTCATCTCTATATATTGTGTACTCGGTACTCCAACATATTTCTTTACAGGAGCTCGCATTTAAAGCCAATGGAATTAGTGGGATGACCCCAATTTTCAGAAGGGAGAAGAAAAATGAGCCGGCCATTGTTCTCTTTCAAATTCGTCTTCTTCTTCTCCCTTTCTCTTGCCGCTTCATACACTGTCACTTCAACCCCAACATTCTACTCCTTCCGTAAGCTCAAACTACGTTCCTCCTTCGCCTCCCCATCCGTACCGAAGGCCTCAGCCGCCGATTTGCTCGCTCTGTTGGGCCCACCTCAACAAGCCTTAGCTGTCAACTCTCAAGAGGCGCGTCAGCTACGTTCTTGCTTCAAATTCCTAGTTCCTTTTTCTCCGAGTTCTCAGACTCCGAATAGACGCTCCTTGAGTTCGAAATTGAGTGATGATCGAAGGAGTATAAGCGAAGAGAATGAGCTTATTTGGTGGCCGCCGGCGCCGGTAATGGAGCTTGCTCGGCTCGCTGTTGACTCTGGTGGTGATACTGCGTCTATTCAAAGGACTCTTGATCCAACAGTCATCCCTGTGAGTTTTCATATCTATCTATTTTAACAGTATTTTCTGTAATGGATTTGAATGTCATTGTTTACCGTGTATTTTAACCATGGTTAAGTGTTAACCGTCTGTACGAATGTTTTTACCCTGTAATTACATATAAATCATATAAGACATTTGTTCATACATTTCATTGCAAAAGCAAAGCCAATTATTTCAGCTCATTGTATACAGTACATGATGTTGTGATCAAAATTTCCTTGAGGATAATCTATTATTGGCATCTGATCTGATGAAGATATTGGGAAACCTGTAAAATTGCTCTGTGAAGCTAATAGTTCCAAAAAAAATTTTCAATAGCAGTAACAACATAAAAAGAGAACAAGGAAAAGTAATCTGATATATTAAACTAAGCATGTTGTTATCTCGTTCTTGTTTCAAATCCAATGTGTAACATTTCATTTCACAAAGCTGAACTGTCTTGAAAAGTGTTAGTATAGTAAATAAACAGGTTGTAAAAGTGCCAAGTGTTATGGCAAAACTTAATAAATACTAAACAGATAACTGAGAAGTGAGACTTCCAGAAAACTTGATTCAGAGGAAGACAATGGATAACTGCAAAAATTCAAAAAGTGGATATAGGGATGGCAATTCGGCAGGGTAAGGACTTAGAATTTAGCAGGGCAGGGTGGCATTATTTGCCTCTGGCAACACTAATTCAGGGCTACATACCTATTATAATTCTATTAAGAATTAACAACAAATAGTTTTTGCTTTTATCCTCTTCGTCGTGAAAGCATTTGTGTCAAAGTTTCTATACAGATAAATGATAAATGCACAAAGATATGTACATTTTTGCCTTTTTGTAATGCCTCGGGTGGCTGCACGATAAATAGTGCTGATCATTAATCACATACTAACATGGCTGGAAATTTTATTGGTACACCCTTTGTACAATATTGTTAAATGCAATATTCGAAGTACCTTACCTATAACTTGTGTAAAGGAACGAATTTCAGCCGGAAAAAAGGGATAGTTTTAGCTCGCGATGTCCATCTAAAAACTTTATTGATGACCCTTATTAATAGGGTCTCTTAAGTCACTAGCAATTTTGAAGTGCTTCCTCTTTCAATTGTCTTTCTCAGAGATTTTTTACAGTAAGTGCATCCTCTTCAATGTGCAGGTTCCTGACATTGAAGGATCAAAGGAAGACCGATGTGAACTTACCAGAACTCCTTATGGGAGACTGTTTATTAATGAGGTCGGCATTAAAATGGAACTTCTTAATCCTCTTGAAATGAGAATTTCTGTTGCCGGTTAATGTTGAGTTCAAATGTTGTTTTGTAGGAGATAAATTCATACCTCGAATCTTTGTTTGAAATGATTGTTGCTCGGGGACCCGGTGTTGGGCTGAATGTATCATTGTCGCGCTTTGATTTCTTTCATGGTCATGTCTTTCTTGCCAGAGACTCTGGAAGACTTGGGATCTTGTAAGTTAACATGAACCCTTCACCGTCTTGAGCACACATGACAAAAATGGTGCTTCTGTTACTCGAGTGTTCCACAGAAAGTCGTGCCCTAAGAACTCTTCGTTGTAAATGACCGAGCAAATACAATCAGATTTGCGTCTAATTACTTGGCTAATCGGATATTTGGAAGGATATTTTTTCTTTCAAGTGTTTCTTTTACTTTGGCTAATAATTAAGTGAACTAGGATAAGAGAAAACTAGAGAAGAAGACCGTTCACCTATTGGAAGAATATGATGGATGCTCATGTAACTGATTCAGTTGCATTTCTATAGCCTTAACTCAATCCATCTAAATAGCAGCAGGAAGATGGTAAAACACAGATTTAGTTGAATTGTAACATTTCTGCAACAAGCAAAGATAAAAGGCAATCTGATCGGGTTTCTGTGATTTTTGTCTGTTATTGTAAACTCAACCATAGTTGTTGTGTTTTCTTGAATATCTTTATCTTGTGTTATATATCATATTCCGTTGTCGGGAACCTTAAGGACAAAAAGCATGTAACGTCTAATTCAACTTGAATTGTCTACTTGTTCAAGACTTGAAGCTGTAGTATGCTTATTCTGCTATGCACAATAGTTCAACTATAAATCTTCAATTTCTTTTGCTTAATCTTCCAGTTCTAGACACAGCTATCATCTAGCAATAATGCTTTTCAGTAACATAAGGTTTAACAAGGTGGATAAATTCCACAATTAAAGTGAATCCTGTTGACAGATCCACAAGAGAGTGTGCGTTAATAAACTCGAATGAGTTTCTTCTTTGTTGAAGTAAAGTATTCTATGCAGTTGATCACTGGCTGCATGTTCTCAAAGGAATTAGAGCTTTTGCTGCTATCTGCAGTCTCTGTTTTCCGCAAAAGACCGAGTCAGGGGTTTCTTGGTTTATGATTTGGTTTTCTTTATGGGGTTTAGTGTTATAGTAGCAATCATTGTGAGTGCACTGAAGCTACCTGGAGACGTGCACTAGCTTTCGGATATAGGGCAAAGAGCCATGGGTGGAAACCATTCATGGATCATCACTACTTTCTCTCAATGAGAACCAGATTGGTAAGATGGGGATCTGGTAGGCGTTTAGTTGTAGAAGTAGAATTCTCGTTCCTCCAGTTTGCTTAAGGAGTTAGACTTAGTAATTTATGGGATTGAGGGACTTCACTTATTTTCAGCAGCCCAGTTTTGCTCTATCGGAAGTCCATAACTCCATAAACACTAGATTATGTCGTTGAGGAAGGTTAACATTCTATCCACTGTGTTTTGACATCTTCTAGTCTATACCAAAAATCCAAAAAAGAGATACAACCATGATTCAGAGTATGAGTGTTTTCACTTATGCTCTAAAAAACATCTTTGGTTTCTTTTCTTCCACATCTCTCAACAAATGCAGGCAAGGATCGTATTCAAGATTCTTTTAATCCTGTAATCCGAATTCCGAAATACAAGACCTCTTGTTTGTTAGCTGGTCAGAGGCAGCTCTTAAAAGATACTCTGTATTTAATTAAATATGATAAGGAGATCCTCTTGTTTGCTAGCTTGTTAAGGAGTAGAGAAGGTAAGAAATTCCATTTATCCTGTAATCCAAAATACAAGATTACCCATTGTCCCATTTCAATTTGAACCTGCCTCCAACCAGTCATACCCTCTCTACTCTGTCGACCGTAAGATGGATGTGGATGTTTCTTCAATTTTGTTTTGTCCTCACAAACTATTTTTTTTCTTTTCTATATTTGTTTCTATTTCTGCTAATATTTTTCATTTTCTTTTTGTGTGGTGGTTCATCATAAATTGATTAGTTTTGCACTGGTTGTGAGCCTGCTGCAACCCTACTCCTTTTATCCGAGATGGGGATGGTAATAGAAGGAACTTGTCTTGAAAGACCTACAATCTCTTAGAATCCATGTAGACATAGCAAAATAGTAGGCCACAATAAAGTAAAAAGATCTATATAGGCGATACCAATTAGTTCGGAATATGTTTAGCCATGTTAATACATTTACTTTAGGTTTTACTAGGAGTCTGTTAATCTTGTCAGAGATTTGTATATCAGTAGGAAATATAGGAACTTGTGCTTTCAATTTTTTTTTTGTATTTTATTGGTTCAAGATAAGCTTAAATGGGTGATATGATCAATGAGGATTCATATAGTGATCCCAACTTGCTTATGGTTTAGATGCAAGTTGTTTGTTGTCGTCTTGTGTGTGTGTGTGTGGGATGCTCGTGAGGTTAAAAGGTGCAAACACTTTTCAGGTTCCATGCTAAGGAGTATCCAGCATATGATAAGGAAGTTTTTCCTTGCAACATGGGCTACTGCCAAATAGGTAGGTCTGTCTGCATCTTAACCACTTCCTGTGAGATCTACTGAATGTTCAGAATTGGATTTTCTCAAACTTTATTTACCATCAGCAGTCTTCCCATCAGCGTATTAGAAGGACAATAATGATGTTCTTTATACTCATGTTAGGTTTTATTGTTCTCAGGAACTAATGTTTCTTATGACGATTCAATGAATTTGCATAACATATTGTGGCTAGCTCCATTAGCTAGCAACTCCTCAAATGAATGGTTAGCACCAGGTATGTGTCTTTGAGGTTCTCAAATTACACTTATAGTGGAATGTTTCCCAGTGCAGTATACTTTACTGCCCGGACCATATCAAAGATGCGGAAGCATCTCTACGACTTGCATTTTCTTATTTCTTTTGTCTTTTTTTTTTTCTTTGGGTGGGTGGGGATAAAGAGGACATTGTGTTTGTAGAATCTAATGGAGTTCATCAACTATGCCTCAATCCCAAGCTAATTAGATCAGCTTACTTACAAATTACAGTTAATAGCTGCAGAAATGCAACTATAGTTTGGAGTTTAATGGGTTACCAAGATTCTTGAGAAATTTATGGGGCTGTTAGTGAACACTGTTCTGGCATGTATCACTGGGATAAGAGCTTTCACACATCACCCAGATTTCCTCTTGATATTCCCCTTTGAGATACAAACTCACAGTGAGGAACTTCCTTCTGCTTTATTTTTTAATAATAATACCTTCGAGTTCTCTTTGGATAAAGTAGCGTAAATCACATGATGCTGTTGAATTTCTAAAGAAAGGTGATCCTGTTGCTACAACTAAGGTAGGGGTAAGGTTTGCGTACATCCCACCTCCCCGGATCCCACTTGTAGGATTACACTGGGTAAGTTGTTATCTTTATTAGTAGAGTTCCACCGTCCACGTCTCTTTTTAGCTTTCCCTTATGTTTGTCCATGTTTCTCAAGTATTTTTTTTGATGAAGTAAATGTTCCATTGAAGGCATCAAGAAGATGCAAATTAGTTACAAAAGTAGAAGCAAAAACAGTTGGTCTGCTGGCTCAAGTACAATTATGCTAAAACTAAGGAGCCAACAAAATTTGAAAAACTATCCAGGGAATCTACATAGGACAAATTAACCCAACTGTACAGACACATAAGGCATTCCGCTTTGAGAGAATGTAAAGGAGTTGATAGACCTTCAAAACATCTTCTGTTCCTTTCCCTCCAAATACTCCAAAAAATTGCTGCAGGTATCATCTTCCAAGTCTGTTTGATGGTGCTGTCAACTTTCCAGCAACACCAACTCTCATAAGCTTCTTTGATACTATGTGGCATGACCCAACTGAGTCCAAAAAAAGAGTAAAACATGTTCCACAATTTTGCTGTAACAGTACAATGCAGAAAAAGGTGCCTATTGCTCTCTGCTGCTTTCTGACATAAGTAGCATCCATTCACAATGATGCGTTTCCTTTTATAGAGGTTGTCTTGAGTTAGGCATGCTTCATATAGTGCAGTCCAGCAAAAACAGACGATCTTGGGCGGTAGCTTGATTTTCCAAATTAATTTCCATGGCCAGTGGTCAGTGACTGCATTAAATGCTCTTGACTGCTTGTAGGCTGCACTCACTGTGTAATTCCCGTCTCCTGTAGTACCCCATTTGAACTGATCTGTTGCCTGAGTGTTGAGAGAGAAACTCTGTAGAGTCTGTAGTAGTTTGATCAGGTCATTAAACTCCCAATCCTGCATATTCCTTCTAAACATAATGCTCCAGGTTGCTCCATCTCTATTTTGAGAAATTGTTGAGTCTGGATCCCTGGCTAAGTTGAAAAGACTTGGATAATCATCCATCAGAACTGTGTTGCGAAGCCATTTGTCTTTCCAAAATCTGATATGAAGTCCATTCCCCACTGTGAAGTGCTTATGCTGAGAAAATTTCTCCCATAGCTTGCATATGTGTTTCCAGACTCCGACCCCATAAGGTGCTTTTGAAAGACTGGTGCACCAATGACTCTGTATCCCATGCTTTGCACTGACCACATCCTTCCATAAAACATGTTCCTCCTGTGTGTATCTCCATAACCATTTCATAAGTAGACACTTATTATGCAGCGCCAAATCCTTGATCCCTAACCCCCCCTGTAGTTTAGGAAGAAGGACTTTTGGCCATTCCACCAGATGATACTTGTGCTTCTCACTATTCCCTTCCCATAGAAAATCTCTCCTGATCTTGTCAAGTTGTTCCAACACTTTGCCAGGAATAGGAAAAAGTTGCATATAGTATGTGGGAATACTATCAAGTACACTGTTGATCAGTGTAAGTCTGCCCCCTGTCGATAGGTACTGCATCTTCCAGGAGGCAAGTTTTTTCTCAAACTTCTCAATAACTCGTCCCCATATAGCTGTTGACTTATACTTTGCACCCAATGGCAACCCCAAATAGGTTGCCGGGAATTCACCCACACTACATCCCAAGATACCTGCTAATTCCTCCAAGTTTAGCACCTCATTAACAGGATAGATCACACTTTTTAGCATATTGATGTGCAAACCTGAGAGGGCTTCAAAAATCAAAAGGGTTAGATTCAAATAGAGAACTTGACTCCTGTTTGCCTCACAAAATATCAGAGTGTCATCTGCATAAAGCAGATGAGAGATGTTTGTAGTGATCATGCTCCCACATCAAAACCATTCAGCCATTGCAATTGCTTGGCTTTATCTAACATTCTGCTTAAACCCTCCATTGCAAGTATGAAGAGAAAAGGAGAAAGTGGATCTCCCTGCCTCAAACCTCTTTGTGGGGAGAAAAACCCAACTGGACTTCTGTTGATGAGAATTGAGTATTTTACTGTAGAAATGTTGAAATTGATCCAATTGATCCATCTTTCACCGAACCCCATTTGCCTAAGGATGGAAAGAAGATATGACCAATTCAACTGATCAAAGGCCTTCTCTATATCCAACTTGCATAAGATGCCCGCCCCTCCGTTTTTTATTTTCCAATCAAGAACCTCATTTGCAATCAGTGAGGCATCAGTGATTTGCCTATCTTTAAGAAAAGCATTCTGGTGTTTAGAGACTAGCTTTCCCATAACTGTCTTTAACCTTTCTGCCAGGACTTTAGCTATGATCTTGTAGACACTCCCAATTAAACTAATTGGCCTATAATCTTTGAGTTCTATTGCTCCTTTTTTCTTGGGAATGAGAGCTATGAAGGAGGCATTGCATGATCTAACCATCCAACAATGTTGATGGTAATGGTTCATAGCTGCCAGTATGTCAACTTTGATGAAGTCCCATGATTTCTGATAAAATGCCATTGTGTACCCATCTGGCCCTGGTGCCTTGTCGGGAGCGCAAGACTGAATAGCTGCCAATACTTCCTCTTCTTGAAAAGTTGCTTCCAGATTAAACTTTTCCTCAACTGAGATGGATGGAATGCCTTCAAAGTTGGCTGAAGGCCTCCACTGTTCAGGTTCAGTGTACAAACTTTCGTAAAAATCAACAGTTTCTTGCTTTATCCTATGCTTATCTTCAATGATCTCAGTTCCCACTTTGAGTTTGTCTATGCAATTGCCCCTTCTATGAGAATTTGCAATTTTTTGGAAGAACTTTGTGTTCTTGTCTCCCTCTTTGAGCCATAAGCATCTGGATTTCTGTCTCCATGAGATTTCCTCAGCTTTAACTAGTTGTTGAAGCTCAATTCTCAGGTTCATCATCTGAATAAGCTCTGGAACTGTTAATTGTCTTTCGCAGTATCTTGACAATATTCTCCAACTCTGAAGCCACATAGAGCAGAGGAACAAGCTGGCTGTTAAATACTTGTCTTCATAAGTAACTATAAACTGAACATGGTTTGTCTTCAAGAAAATAGAGTCACTTTATTAATACAGTAAGGTTGCTAAAAGTTGCTAAAAGTTGTGAGACATATTATGGAGCACAAAAATAAGTTGTCATGAATGTGTTATTGTCGTCGGTTTCTTAAAGAAATATGTATCCTTGAGTTTAGCTCCTAAACTAACTTTTTTCTGTGGATCCCTTCCACAAATTCACGTTATTAATTTCCTGTTGTTTTGATGACATGTTGGTAGAATTTCTTTCTAACTCTCTGGACTATCAGTGAAGTGTCTTCCTGTTTAAAGACATGGTTGACACTACATTCAATTTGTCTTGCAATGTTAGTAAAAGTTTAGTCATAACGAGTTTGTGTAACTTTTTGATTTGTGGACAATCAATGAGATCTTCAATGACCTAGATAAAATCCCCTGCCTATTGGGCGGTATGACAATCACCTTTTTTTCTGGTGAGTGACAGTTTAGTACTTTTGAGGGGAGGGGCCAGGGCAGTGTTATGAAAGGCGCCTCGCCTTGGCGATGGGTCATCGCCTTTTTCCGGCGAAGCGAGGCGACTTCAGAAAGGCGTCGCACGGAAAGGCGTAAGATGACGTGGTGTGGCGATGCAATAGGCGTCGCCTTTTTATTTTTTATTTTTTTAAGGTCTGACTTCATAAATAAAAGCCAAAATTAGGGTTTTTTGGGTATTTTTGCAAACTTGACCTTCGCAAGACGCTCCTCCTCTTCTCCTCCTATTTCGCGATTGTTGCTCCTTCGTGGAGACTTCTTCTTCGCGAATTGCAATCGCGACTGCTGCTCTTTCTTAAGTACGAAATCTTATCTCTAGTTCTTCTCTTCTTCTCTTCTAGTTCTTCTTCTTCTCTACTCTCTAGTCTCTACTCTGTTTTTTTTTTGGTGGAACTACTCTATTATATTTTTTTGGGTGGAACTACTCTGTTTTTCAGTATTTAGAGTTTGAGACTATGCTTGGTTCTGTACTTCTGTGGTATCACTGGGCTGGAATCTGCCTATATTTTTTTTAAAAAGTAACTTAATCCTTTTATAATTATTTCCTCCCTACTTAATTTAGTTTTATACTAATTAATATAGTATTTATTTGTCCATAAATAGTGAATTCAATGACGTCAGATGCTAACAAAAAGAGGGACATTGCTAATGAATGTTATTGTTATTGAGATTTTGGATATTTATATATGCAATTAAATATTTTACTTTTTTTTGTATTAATTGGTGCCTCAATTCAAAAAGGCGAGCGGCGAGGCAGGCCCTTGTCGCCTTTTGTCGCCTCTTGCCGTCCAAAACACTGGGCCAGGGAGATTGTGGGGTCGGCAGAGGCAAATTTTTGGTTCAGTTGAAATGATGGGAAATGATGAAGATGGATAGTATCATTTTGAAAAAGGTTTTCATTTTTTTGGGCTTCAAGTAAAACACTGCTCAATTAACTTAAAGTACCTAGTACAAGCTACAAAATGACAAATCCAATCTATTAGGATAACCGTGAACATCCTGATGATCTGTAGGAATGAATTAATCGGGAAGAGATAGAGAGAGGAACCAATTTTCTCTCGCAGATAAAAAGAGGTTACAAGTTTCCTGTTTGATTACCTTGTGACTTCTGATGTAGAGAATTTCATGTTGACAGCAGCAGGGACGGCTCAATGCCTTTAAAAATGAGGCATCCGTCTTAGTCCCAAAATTTGAGACCCTGTTTTTTAAAAAAGTAATAATAGAATTATTGCAAGTATTTTTTAACAAAAAAATAAACTATATAGTGTCTTTCTTATATTGTTTCGAAACATTAAGGAATGTATCTTTCTTTTTTGTCCGTTTTTAAATTTAACTTCGACATGACGTGTTCATTAAAAAGATCAAATAACTTTGGATTTCAAAAATAAAAGCTAGGCTTTGGCAACTAATTACCGCAACTGGACAGGAGTCTTAGTTGTCCTGGATGCACGTCCAACTGGAGTCATATGCAAGGACCTCATACCTGAGTATGTTCAAATTGCCAGGACCCTGTATGAAGGTTTGAATTTTATTTAAATTTGAATCAACAACTCAAAGTTAACCTTATTATGAAAACTTTGGAAACGTTTTCTGATACAATCATTTGCTGTTCGCCAGATGATTTTGGGGACGTTGCTTTTGATGTTAACTACCTAAACACAGGAGGTGAACCACCTAAGTTTCAAATTTTCATTTGCTGACCTCTTTGGAAAGGTTTGACTGTCAATTAGCAGTTTCACGAAGTGAGAATCCATATACTCAATAGATATTGCTTATCAATGTCATGTAATTTCTCTGCCCGAATCGAAATGCATCTTTGAAATATTTACTTGCAGCACTACTGTCATCAGTATTTGATTCTAGCGCATTCAAGTGGATGGTTGTTTGGAAAAGGCATTGTTTGAAGGAGATATTACTATTAGAATCGCGAGTCTTTAGTCATTTAGTTTGTGAGGGGAAATCCTTATGACATATATCCTCTCTTGATTGTCCTGTGAAGCTTGGACAATGAAACAATGATTGAACTGTGGGGTGTAGAGTAGGATTTGTGGGTTCATAGAAACCCAATAGCTTTTGTTTATTCCACGTTTATATAATAAGAAATCCATTAAACATTTAATATTTAATTGTAAACTCAGTTATTACTCTACATTAATTTGAGGTTGCTTATGAACTTGTATGTATCTGCTTTTGTATCTCAAAGATGTCATTACTCGGAAGGGTTCATACTCTACGTTGTCTCTTAGCTATTGTGGCCTTACGGTAGTATAAGTAACTCTTAGCTATTGTGAACTAATTTAGGCCTTACGGTAATGTACGTCAAGGAAAAAGAAAATGAACTTTCTTAAATTTTAAGCAATGAGATCGTTAAACCCAAAAACTCTTGAAGATTTTAAAAACTGATAATTGGACATTTTTTACGACCAAAGAAAAGGAGTGATTCATAAGGTTTTTTTTTTAGGCTGGTGCCATTATGAGTTTTTACTGATTCATTTTTTTATAAATCCTGAAAGTGAAAAGAAGTTTATTAAAATTTAATTGAAATATATAAGTGAAAATGAAATAATTTATCAAATTAAATAGTTTTTATAACATATTCTATTTTTTTTCTTTGTCAAGTAAACTAGCCGTCATGAATGAGTAAATAAATTTAAACGATTGTTCTAGAATGAGAATAATTGGTGCTTGACTAAACATTGAAATAAAAGAAATTTTATTTTAGGTTCACGATGTCATACAATCAATGCAGTTGCATGATATATCTTTTTTATTTCACATATTAGTAAATTTAAATTATTATTTTTTCCATAAATATCTCTTACTAGTGTATAAAAGGAAATTCCTAATAAAAAGTAGACCGAAAAAAATAACGGAAAAGGGTCAAAATTGCCCCTGAACTATGTGAAAGAGACCACTTATACCCTTCGTTACATTTTGGGATAAAAAATGCCCATGCTGTTATTCTAAGAGACCACAAATACCCTCAAGAGTTAACACCCCAAATTTTTATTGACATGGCAAGCCACGTGGGACTAATCCTTCCACCTACGTTGCCAACTAGGATTCACTACAAAAGAACTAGACCTTTAGCGGCGACAACAGTCGCCACAAAAGCCAAGAAAATCGTCACTAAAAGTTTTAAACTTTAAATTTTAATTTTGTGTTTTTTTCTTCATTGTTTTTAAAAAACAAAAAATGATATCTATTAAGTAAGAGTTTGAAGACACTGTATGTTTTATTTTTATGTCATATGTAAATTTATAAAATGTACAATGATGCATTATATAGTAGGAGATTTGAATCGAGAAGTAGTTTTGATGATTTTTCGTAATAATATTGATATTGCAAGTTATTTATTTTAGAAAATTAGGTTGCAATCGAAAATTAATTATCATATTTTTTGTTGAAAAAATAGGTTTTACTAGCGAATGGTTGTTGGAGCATTAGTCGCCACTAAAAATCACTCATAACCTTTAGTGGCAATATTTTGAGAATTTGTGGCGACTTTGTCGCCACTAAAGGTCAAGTTCTTTTGTAGTGAATCTTAGTTTGGCAACGCTTAGGTGGAGGGATTAGTCCCATGTGGCTTGCCACGTCACTAAAAATTTGGAATGTTAACTCTTGAAGGTATTTGTGGTCTCCTGGGATAACGGCGGGGTGTTTTTGATCCCAAAATGTAATGGAGGGTATAAGTGGTCTATTTCGCATAGTTCGGGGCAATTTTGACCTTTTTCCGAAAAAATAAATAAAGCAGTGCGTCTCCACGTAGATTTCGGGGCCCACAAAAGATATTTAAGAAACTCGTAACTTTATCCGTTTTGGACACAACTTGCGCACTACTTCCCCTTTAATAAGTCATATAGGAAAAATAAAATAAAAATCGAAACCCTTGTGCTTTTTTTCTCGTCTCACTATTCTCGCGCTTCGCTTACTCCTGTACACAAAGCTTGGATCATCTTCACCACAATATATAGTAATTATTTATGTATAACAATTGCAAGAGGTGAAGAGTTAATTGAGAATGGTTTCAGGGAGGTGGATAGAAACTGGAGCGGATCTATGGAAAGATAGGGCACGATCGCTGCAGCTTCGTCTGAGAGACCGTCTTAGAGTCGCCGTCGATCATCATCGTCGCCGTCCGAAGATCTATGATGGTTACTTATCATCTACCGTCGAACGCTGGCTCCAACGGTTCAGCGATTTCCGTAGAGATACTCTGCCTTCTTCTTCCACTTTGTACCGTAAAAAAGGTCAGTTTCCTTTTCCTTGCAATAGCATCTAGTTTGGTACATCGAAAATCTAAATGCAGGAAACGCTGGTATTCATAGGTAGAGTTTGCAACATGGTTAGACTAAGAATTCAAGAAAGTGACGGTTGTTAGTTTATTCAATAATGTTTTCTTCAAGAAAGTTTATTCAATAATGTTTTCTTCAAGAAACTATTCAAGAAAGTGACCGTAGTTAGTTTATTCAATAATGTTTTCTTCAAGAAAGAAAGTGACTGTAGTTAGTTTATTCAAGAATTCAAGAAGGTTTTCTTCACAATAAGTATGTGATTTCATGCTGAAAATTACTGAAATTAGTTGCTAAATTACTCCTATTACCTACATTTGTCTGCCTTTGATGAATTTAGGGAATTTTTGATATGTTAAATCCCGCCTTTCAATTTCCATTGCCCCCTTCATGACTTGGAAGGTTATTTCCACTAAACTATTACTCACTTGTATTTGCTAACTTTTAGATATTCAAACACACAAAAAGAAAAAAGTAACTTTGGTTAAGAGTATGAAGTGATCGCATTAATAAAGTTTCTTTGGTATGACATCCGGGCTTGTTTGGCCATGTAATACTAATTCAGTACTTGCTAATACTGAGCTTCATTTTTTGAACTTCAAGTGAAATATTGGTTGAAGGTGTATTTGTGAAATGGACTTTTATTTCAAGTGAAGTTCATACCCGAACATAATTTCAACTTCAATTCAAATACTGCCCAAATGCCTGCTTAAGTGCACCATCATTGTGTTGCCTCCCCTCACTTTAAGCAATAAGGAATTGTGTCTAATAACATTGCTTATAACTGCAAGTTGTGCTGCAAAAGCTATATGAGGATTCTTCAAGATGCTTTTCATGGTTGATACTTATAACTCTGTATGCCTATGACTGCAGTTAGCAAGGATATTGATCCAGAAGCAGATTCAGTCCTGACTCGCATGCTGCAGGCTGTGGCTGTTCCTGTGCTTGGAAATGTTTGTCATGTGTTTATGCATGGCCTCAATCGTGTTCAGGTAAGCTAAATCTGGGTGAGTTGCTATTTCAGCTGTTGCCTAGTTGAGAAAAATAACTCGACAACTTTTGCAGATATATGGTGCAGAAAAATTACATCAGGTGCTGGAAAATCGAATGGAGAATAAACCACTTATTACAGTAAGCCATGTTCCTGAGTTACCTCCAGTTCCTTCTTTTAGGCCTCACCTTAGACCCCTGGATTTTATCTTTTGATATCTGGTTCTGTTTTGTAAATCAACTCAGGTGAGCAATCATGTTGCTGCTATGGATGACCCACTAGTTATTGCTGCATTACTTCCTCCCAGTGTTATTTTGGATGCACAAAATTTGAGATGGACACTTTGTGCAACTGATCGATGTTTCCGCAATCCAGTGACATCTGCCTTCTTCAAACATGTCAAAGTTCTTCCTGTGTCCCGTGGGGACGGTATTTATCAGAAGGTATTTTCTTTCTGAGGTGCTGGTGAGATGAAGTTATTGATATTCTGATTGTTTCTACAGCACTGTTGATGGATGATGTATTAGATATCTCGCTCAGCCAGTCTAAGATGTTTTCTTTAAAATGTTGAAAGAGACTGATATAGTTTATAGCTAATTCTCAGTCTATTTCTGCATGTTTTGCAGGGGATGGACATGGCTATTTCAAAATTGAACCGTGGTGGATGGGTGCACATATTTCCAGAAGGTAGTCGCTCTCGAGATGGTGGCAAAACAATGGGTTCTATTAAAAGAGGCATCGGAAGGTACTCATTCTTTCTAAGTAATAAATTGTGAATTGTATGATTATCCTTAAGTAGGTAACTTGTGAATTCCATGATTGTCAAAAAAGACACCAGTTTGTTGAATTTGTAATTTCATATTATTTGGAGAAGAACAAGACCCAGAGACAAGGTATTGTTGGAGTTCTGTAGATATCAGGGGCAGATTGATTCAGTTGTATTTCTGTTGATTACCTGTTCGTTTTTTGCTCTGCTATAAAATGAAAAAGATCCCCTCCTCTCCGTCCTTCCCCTGTTAGTTAATTAGATTCATGTTGTCTTTATAAGGGTTGGTGCTATGTCTGAGACTTTTGGTTGTCTTAATAGATTGATCCTGGATGCCGACAATTTGCCAATAGTCATCCCTTTTGTGCATACTGGAATGCAGGACATCATGCCTGTAGGAGCCAAGCTTCCCAGGATTGGAAAGACGGTATGTAATTATCATTTTGAGGATGGTGAATAATGCAGCGGCATGTATCATGCACCAATATTATTAGGTATAGAGAAAGGGAATCAAAGAGAGAATCAATTGCCATTGCTCTACTTTAGTTACCATTTTCAACTTCTGGTATTTATGATTTACATTCTCTTGGTATACTCTTAATGAGCTGTAAAAACTGCAGGTGACTGTTCTTGTTGGTGATCCCATCGAGTTTGATGACTTGCTTGCTGCTGGCGAAAAGGATAATATGCCAAGAGGAAAATTATATGATGCTGTGTCAACAAGAATTGGTGATCGATTACAGATGCTCAAGGCCCAGGTGGACAGACTAGCTGTCCAGGAAGCACTACAATCACAACACTACCATGATTATGTTGCTGAACGAGCTGCTGGGATTGTGCAGCACGTTGACTGGGAAGCTCTAGGCATGGACAATTACATGAGCATTGGGGAGGATCATGCCTCTCCTCCAAGGCAAGAACCTAGTAGTGAGCAGCCATTAGTTGAGAAGCTGATGGAAGAAAATAGTCAGGATAGGTACTTTCGGTTGGGCTTTTCCAGGGAAAGTGGAATCGTATCGAGGATCAGAGGTTACATGGGTTCAACTGAATTAATGCTATTTTCTGCTAGATGTTTAGTTGCTAATAGTAGGGTAAAAGAAAATTTTGAGGACATTCAAGAGATTGCTCCATTGA